ATTGTCCTATAAAATAATCAGTTTTAATAGAATTGTTCACATAAAAGAACTAGTTTTTTTTTATGGATAATCAACAGGACCTTAAGTATAGTTTTGGTAAAGCTAAGTTCAGAAGTCATTTGATTTTGTTTGCTTTAGTTTATTTTCTTTATATAAATGTCATTGGGTTATTTAATGCCAACAAGATTTTTAGGATAGGATTGTATGAATAGTATGAATAGAATATGTGGTCTTTGTAAGAAATCAGTTTGTAAATCAGGTTTCATTGGTGTATTTTTTGTAAAGAAGGTTTTTCTTGAGAGTCAAATTTTATTGCTGGTAATATTTTTTTTTTCAAAAATGTATGGCTGGTAATAATTTTTTTTTTCCTAAATGTATTGTAGGTAATAATTTTTTTTTTTTTTTTTTCAAATATGTATTGCTGGTATTTTTACTATAAAAACCTATTTTTATACTTTCATAGTGTTTTGACCCTCAGTTTGGTGGTTAACTATTTGTACATAGTTGGGACCCTAACAGGTGCTACCACTCTGAGTCAGGGTGGACTTTGGAACAATAGCAATTAAGAGATGGTTCCATGCTCCTCAAAACATCCTGATCAGATGCCTTGCTGTTGGATGTAGTTTATCAGCATACCCAGGACACCTCATTCTGGGGTGGGGGAGGGGGCCTTACCCATCTGCAGAGGTGCAGTCGGCATATTCTGAAGCCCCACCCAACAGGGTCAGAAGTCACTTGAGCTCACAAGAGCAAAGCATGTCAATTTTAGATAAATTAACTTTGAGTAAAATGGTTTAAGGTATGAAGTTTGTTATAAATATGAAAATGTTTTTGACTTCAGAAATGGTGGAGCAGGTGATAAGATCAAATTCAGCCTCAAAGGTCACTTGAAGTAGTATTAGTTTTTGGCCTTTATCATCTGTAATCAAGCCAAACAATTACACCCTTAGATGTAATTTGGTATGTGGTGGTAACCTGTGTAGAAAAAAGATGATATATGTGTTACTGATTTTCAGGGTTAGCAGAAGTCAATTTTGAATTAAATTAGCTTTCTTTTTCTTTTTCCAACCAATCAAAAAAGCTTAAAAGTTTTTCTATTTTGTTTTTAAAATGTTTTCAGATAAAAATTCACAATTTCTCTAAATTTGTAAAAGATGTAAAACAAAAAAATTGATCCAAAACTACATAAATTACCAGTGGCTTTGTGTACAAAAGCACTCCTGTTTCAAAGAATGATGTCATCAAAGAAATAAACTCAAAGATGTTGCAACATATTCTTCTGGAAGTTTATCTATACAAGTTACAATTCTGAGGCTGTTCAGAACCCAGTTCCTCAACTCTCTTGATCTGCTTTGTGTTCCTTTCCACAGGCTTCAACTAAAAGTTTGGACACATATCATGCTTCTTAGAAATTTTAACACTCCAAAATTATGCTTTTCCCACATGTCATCAAGGCAAGTATCCTAATTTGAGTTGACAAATAGGAAGATGTGTTTATTCCTAGGGTCTCTATAATTCTAACAGATTTTACCTTTGAATTCAAGTTATTTCAATTCCCAATGAGTGATCAGTTTCAACAAAGCACAAGGACAATCTCTCTAGATCAGTGACCTCAAGTTGATTTTTCTGTGATTTTTCCCATGGCCAACTCTAAGCCATTAGTTATTCTAGGGAATTATCCCCAAGTAAAATTTTCATCCTGGTACCCACTGATGTTACATACCCAGAAGCCCTGTCAAATGAAAAGTCTGCATAATTGGTTTTGTTTTGGGCATCAGAATATTTTTCAGTAATAATTAGTTTTTCATGTTTAAAGTGTATAAATATTTTTTTCATTTGTTAGACTGTATAAGCAGAAATATGTTATGTTGATATATTTGAAGTTATTTTTGTAGAGGCAACACTGGGTATTCCTGCTAGTATTTATAAATATAAAAAAGGGTAAAAACTGTTTTTTACTAACATGGTCTCTTTGTTGTTTAGCAAATTGTGATTCTGTATTATTTAACCATCATTTTAAGATCATATTGAATAAAGATTTTAAATACAGATGATTTCTCATGTAAATAGGAAAAGAAAATTTTGTTTTCTGTGCTAATTTATGATAAAATTGTCACAGCAGAGCCAATTTCTACCATTATAAATCATGTGTTCTTTTTCTAATTTTTATAAATACAAATGAGGCTTTATTATGATTGATACCTGTTTTCTATAGTCTGGAAAAGATTATATTTTGATATGAGACATATGTTCCATGTAGATGAATGCAAAATTATTCATGTTCTGCTATTCAAAGAAGTATTGAATGAGGCAAGATTTAAGTGAAGAAATGTGATTATGCTGGTGTTGTAAACATGCAACACAACTTTGTCTAGCTTTCCACTAACCAGCCAATGACAACTTGTTTTCATTGGCTGGTTAGTGCGTGTTGAAAGCTAGGGAAAGCCAACTGCATGTTCACAAGGTAATGAAAGATGAAAACTCATCCCACATTAAGAAATGTAAACTTGAACCCTGTTTCCAATATCATATTTAGATGTTTTATTCAGGGCTTTGTTTGCTTGGTCTGGGTGAGTGGATAGGTAAGAACTGGAGGCAACTCATCTCTTTCCTGCTACCAACTCTCTGACCATCTACTCATAAATTGAAATTTAAATGCAATGTCAATCGTTATCTTCTTAACTCCTGTTCTTTTATTGTTCTCTCGCCTTAATAATGTTTTCTTTTTCTCATATTCTATCACACTCAGTAATCTGTTGTGTCTTAGTGGCTTTATTGTTTTGTTTGAGGTGAAATGATAAAAAAAAATTCTGAGATGTGTCTGGCAATATGTATGGGCAACATAGGAATTACACAAAAGACAGTCTGTCCACCACTAAGGGAAGACCAGAACTGGCTTCTTCAATCCCAAGCATTAATTTAGACCAGCAACCAGATACACTCTCTCTACAGTTTTGCTGTCACTTGGTCTTCAAGAGAACCCTATCTACTCATTTACTTTTCCATTCTCCTTTCATCAAAGAGGATACAGAGCTGTTAACTAAACTTTAAAATAAATATCCACTGGCTTATAAAACAGAAACACTTGAGATCAAGATAAAAATCACATCTTCCTCTTCTGTGGGAGTGTCCCAATCATAGTGTCACACTTTGTCATGCATATATATATATATATATATATATATATATATATATATATATGTATGCAATTTAGTACATGTAATTAAAAATAGATATACCTTCAATTTTTATATATAATTTTAAAATTTCATAACTTATATGAAATCAATGGTATATTTTTTGTATTTAAATATCCAAATTAAGCAAGTAGTATTGATGATGATGAACAATATTTTAAATTTATTCATGATTATAGAATAAAAACATTTACTATAATACTCTGTTAATATACAATATACATGTTTAATTTTTCTATCAGTTTATAAAAATAAAAAGTCTACAAAATGCTAATCTGCTTGTCAGATTAAATAGTTTTATTAAAAAGTTCAATGCTCCTTAGACAACGACAACTGAAAATAGAAAGTTAATTAATTGCGAGCCCTTGTGATATATTTTCCTAATATATGTATTGAGAATTACAAAATTTAAATTATTGATATTAAATTTGTAATGAAAAAATTATTTATAGAAAATAAGTCAGGTGACATCTTCCCTTAAAATTGTTGTGATATTTAATATACAATTTTTGGAAATTTCTGCAATTTATCCATCTCTGTTTTCAACCAAATATTTTGTCTCACTTTCAAAACTGTTCTAAGTGCATCATATCATCACACAGAAGTACCAGTGTTATTTCTTATCAGGCCTAAGCTATCATGAAGCCAGCCAAAATGCTTTCTATTCTGGGATAAATATACAAATCTCTCTTTGTCATTGTCAACTAAATAGCTTTTATGTTACTTTATTTGTTAGCTATAAAGACATTTTCTTATTCAGGTATTAACTTTCAAGAATTTTCAATTCATGACTTTTTCTATATCATCAATTTTCCAAATACATAAAAGTTGTCAGATTTTGATATTAGTTTTCTCTGTTGATGATGATAAAAAGAATGCTGATATTTACATTAAGAAAATTACAAGAAACACCTCACTGTCTGAGTTACAAAAGATTGCACTCATGAAGACCATTCACATATTCAGAAAAACTCCTAATATAAGCAATAACTAAAAAAAAAAAAAAATAAAACCCCAAAAAACAACTCATTTACATCATGTTTCAGGTAAAAGATCCAGTAGAGGATTGTATCAAACAGGAAATCAGGAAAATTGGGATAAAAATAATAATATTTAATCAAAAACATGATTTTTTAAATTTGTTTTTAACTATATTATAACCAAATTAACTCAGCTACTTTTTGTACCATTTATTCTTTTATAATCAATAGATTCTATTGAATTTGGTTACATAATAAAACAGTTATATGATAATTTATGTTTCTCTTAGTGTATGTCATGGGTTTTTTAAAAGTTGGAATATGAAAATATAAATATATTTAAATTTAGTGAAATTGATAACAAATCAAACTAGTTTGATGATAGACTTCGTGACAGTAATAGTTGGTTGGAAATCATTTTGTTCTTTTCTTCTGGTCATGACATTTTTTATTATGACACTGTTGTGTGTTTCATTTTGATAATCTATTCAGAAAATTGATTTGTGTGTTTTGCTAAGTATAAATATGACAATATAACAATGGATACCTTATCATATGGATTAAGAAGCTAGTCAAGCAAATTATTACTACTGTAGTAAATTTGATCTTTGTTGAGTGCTCCACACTTGTAATGTTCTAAGCTAAGCTTAATAAATATCAATGTAAGTTATTTTTTAATAAATTTACTTAGTCTTGTCTCTTTATAATTTTGTACAATACAGTAATATGTAATAAAATACTTTTGTTGCTTCTTTTTTCCCAGTCTTCTTTGATATTTATATATATTTTTTGGCTCATTCTAAATTAATTCTTTCTTTTTCAGATCTCAGTGAATGAAGCAGCTGCCCAGTTATGTCACCATTTGCCAGCATTGTTGACACGGAGAGAGGACTTGTTTCCATTAGCAAGGCAGGTTGTGCGAGAAAGTGGTTATCAGTATTCTAAAGGTCACTCCAGGTAATTTATTATCTTGTGTTGACATTCTTTCAAAAATATCTCTTGAAACCATGCAACTCTCAATCTTTTGTTTTTTTTTTTTTTTTGCTTTTGTATTCTGAACGAACAATCTACTGTTATCCTGATTACTATTACCTAGTTCTGAATGCTTTTTGTTAATAACTATTTTCAAGTGGTCAAAATTGGACCAGTAATTGTTCAAAACAACCATTTATTTTTCTGGAAAGAGCTCATAATAGGTAACTCTTTTCCAATCCCTCATATACACAGCATCACCTTTAGATAAAAGTCAGTTATTGGTACAGTTAGTGTTGATTCACTTCACTTGCTCCAAGTTTTTGGTATTCAATATTGTTAGAATATTTTTTTAAAAAATAAAACATTTTCATTATGTTCAAGGATCAGTCTGAGCATATTCCAGTAGATTTATTTCCTTTAATTTATGTGGATACTATCTACAAAACGGATTAACTTAACCAAGCTAGTGCAAATGACTATTAACACTTGATTTGGACATTTTAAGTATGCTGGCTATCTTATGCATCGTTAAATATCTTGATTTTATTGCTGTCAATCTAAACTAACTACTTGAGCATGGATTATTATTCATGTAAAAAAAAAAAGGCTTATTTTTTTTATCTTTGTCAGTCAATAAACAAAATAAGCTAAAATTAAACAAAATAAAATTGAGAGCTGTCATAATAAACTGAAGTATCAAAAAATATCAGATATCAGTAAACTGGATGGCTCCTATTCCTAGTGTCTTGTAGAAATGGACAACTGGATGACATAAATATGATGTAATAAGTAAAGAGGTAGTATAGTTGTGACAGTTATGGAATGCAGACAATATCTAGTACTATTTGATCTTAGAATGTTTGTTGGGACTAGAAACATTGGACACTCATCAAGCAACATTAACAAAGGTATATTAGTAATATGCAAATTCCAAACAAACATCAGTTTCATGTAGAAATTATAGGTGCCCACATATGATAAAAGAATACTACCTGTGACTAATTACCTGGCAAAGGGGAACATTGCATCAGATGATTATTTACACCTTTTCTATATGTTCACCATGTTTCCTGGATAATGATATTTTTTTCCAGCAACACTCCACTGTACATGGGTGACACAAAACTAGTTCCAAGAATACTTAGCTTGATTCCAGGTATTCCATTATCCCCTTCATTCACCAGATCTAAACATGTTATAGAACATGTTTAGACTTCACTAAATTCCCATCAAGCATAACCAACAAACACAATTAAGCTATGGACACTTTTGGAACATATGTGGATAGCTATATTTATGCAGTGAGTCTGGTATCTTGTTGAGTGTACAGACATGTCCTGTACACTCAAAAGATACTGGAGTCACCATTATTCAACTCAGAAACTACATTTTATTACAACGGAGTCTTCAAATTTTTGGTGCTTCAGTTTACTATAAAAAATTATCTTTTTTTTTTGTAATGAAGTCATCACCTAACAACAAAATTTTTAGCTAACCCAATAGTCTTAACATTTTTCATTTATTAAGAAATGTATTAAAAAAAAATGTAACTTTCTACAAATAGAAGGATCAACAAAATTGCGTTCATTATTTAAGGGGGACAACTCTTCATTCATTATTGCCCTTTTTATTTTAATAGTTTCTCTTTGCTGTTTATTATAAAAGTTGCACATTGAACGAATTGTAACTTAATTGTTTTATTAATAAAAAGTACAATAAAATTATTGCTCATAAAGTTTCATTGTGATAAAGATTAATTTAATCTTATTTTCTGAAAATGGATATCACTACCAAACATAATATATTCTATGTTTATACATGTTTTTTTAGTTTTCTATAAGCTCATATACTTTAAATAATTCTTAATTTTCTACTGTGATTAAAAGAAAATATTTTAGTGTATTTTAAAAATAACTTTACTAATTTCTTTCATTATAATTTTCATATTAAGAGATTATTTTTTATTATTCCATATATTAGGTATATTTCAGTACAATGTTTTAGCTAAGTTTACCCTCAATTTCCTTTTAGACTTCAATCATAAATGTTATTTATTTGGGATTGTTTATCTTTTTAATCCTAATTCTCATGAATTAGTTCTTTTCATTGACATTTGACTTCTGCAGACATGATATTATGAATGAAAGACTTGTTTTTTGAATTTATTTTGGGCTTTTTTATTTTATATTTTCATTTTATATGAGTTTTTTTTTATTTTTTATCTATTTCTTTCTTTGAACAAATTTTTATAACCCTTTAATTTCTGTTCAACTCTTTATTTCCAATTTCTTTCTTTTTATGTTTATATTTTTTTTTAATTTCCACCTTATTTTCCTTCTCTTGTTTGAGTAGTAAGCCCAACCCTCTACTTGCCTGTTTATGTGTGATTGAGTGGTGCCAGCCTGTAGTCGACGGACACACATTTCAGACTGTTTCCCAATAAAGAAATTTCACTGAAATGTTTCTTTGTATGAAATTCTAAATCAGTTTTTGGGTTTTATTTTTTGTCTTTGCAGTAACCCCAAACAGCTGTGGGCAGTCGAAAGTCCGTCCGTCAACTGCAACAGGTTACACTCAAATTTTTAATTCATTAAATTTTCCTTTTTTTTTTTCTGACTTAGAAGCAAAAAATTTTCAAAATCACTTTTTGAAAGCATGAAATACTACAACTACTTGTGAAGTAGACTTATTCCTGGGTAAGGTTTCACGTACTTGTGTCTGTTTCTAGCCTGTGTTTAGTTGATTTAATTCCTTCATTACCTACCTATGTTCCATGTACATAACTATGTCTAAGTCTGTATTCTGTTTATTAATCTGTCTGTATTTATCTCATATCAAATATGTGAAATATATATTCATAAATTTTGTTTCTTGACATCCCTACATGCTTACACATACTCCCTCCAATATAGTTGTATCACTTTGCCAATCATAAAAATTCATAAAATTGTATTATTTAATAATTGTAATAGAATTATTTTCAAAATAGCATATTGGTTTGTGAGTCATCCTACTTGATTGTATATTTTAGAAACTGTTTTAAATGACCACTTTCATTGTGCAAATGCATGTCTGTGTTTTTTTTCTTCTTGTCTTTGTTAGGTCAATATTTTCCTTTGCATGCTCACAAAGGAATGTCAAATGGGATTCTTTACAATCCATACTAAAGATTATAAGTATTGGTATAATAATTGATTATAAGTATTTCAATTTTATACTTGTGAATTAGGAGATGTTGGGTTTAATTTATGAGTGACAAAAATCATATGAAAGATCATAATAGCCAAAGGACTAAAAATATAAATTACTCAAGTTTTGGGTTTTGTTTTTGTTTTTTTGTTTGTTTTTTTCCCCCTGCATGAATTTTTAAATAACTGATTAAAAATACTGCTTGTTTTGGTTTTTATTATTCTTAATTATGTTTTTATTTTTTCAAAATACTTTAGGTCATAGATTGTCTAGATTATTGCTGCAGCAAACATAGAATGTTATTGGTGGAATATACTTGAAGGTTCAAAGTTTTAATGCCATATTATTTGTTAAATAAAAGCAAAGATTTTTGATTTCCATTTATTGTAAAAATTACTCTGGTTACTTTGCAATTTAAGATAAGATAAAGTTAGATTTTAAAAATGATAAGGTATTAAGTTGGTAAGAAATTTCCTACACATAAGGAAAATCCAAATGTAGAATGTTCAGGAACCTTATCAATTAAAGGTACTTGTAATTCTTGGCTTTCACTTGCTTTCAGAGTGTTAGCAAAAAAGCTCCTTGCAAGCAGTTGATGTGTGTCTGTTGTGTGATTTTACTGTTAGCTTCATTTTAGCTGAAGTAATCAACCAAATCAAGCAGCTATTTGGAAAAAGAACAAATTGTTGCAAGTCAGCTGATGGATTGCTAAGAAAGTTTCAGCTTCATGAAGTTAGACACAAGACAGCTTCAATGTAGATTTTCATTGAAACTGAATGAGGATAAATTGTGCCAATCATGGAAGTCAATTCACAGTTGAATAGCCAGGAACTTTCATAGTAGTTTAACTGCACTTACACAAACAGTTGCTGATGACACTAAAAAAAGAAAAAGAATCCTCACAAATGCATAAAATCTTTCACTCACTGCAGAACATCTGAAATGTTCTGGGTTTTCAAAGCAATGCCAAAGTGATACTACAAACCTTTGATCTAAAACTGATATAATTCTACAAAGGAAACTCCAGTTTTGTGTTGACAGTAATAGATAACTGTGATGATTATGTTAAATAATTGTTCAGTGTTTGTTTTGAAAAATAATAACATTTTTTGACTGCACAAAATGTTTATAAGTTTTCTAACCAACTTTGTTATTTGTGTTGATCAATCATACATATATACATGTTGTGGAGTAAATAAGACATTCCCAGTAACACAAATGAACTAGGCAAGATGCCTTAAATAAAGAACTCAAAGTGAGTCAGTAGATGTCCATTAGAGTCATTTGAGGAAAATTTTTAATGACGTCATGGCATGTAGTCTAAGTTAGACATAATATTATAATTACTAGGAATGAGTTTTAACAGTGGCAATGAGGGATTGAAACTCATATGGAGTAGGAAAAAGCACTTTATACTTTGGTGCACAGTGGCAATGAGAAATTAGAACCACATTGGTTTAATTTTTTTTCTCTCTTTGGTGTGTGAAAAAAGAAAAAAACAGATATTCTTTCAATATGGAAGAATTACTAGCCCAAGTGGTAAAAATACAACAGCAGCAGCAGCAGTTGTTGGAACATCAAAAACAACAAAATTTAATTGAAATAATGCAGAAGAAAAAGGAACATTCCCCAAGTTCTTTCACCCTTGATGTAGTGGCAAATACCACAACTGAATTCACATACAATTCGGATGATGGGATTACCTTTTCTGTTTATTTTAGAAGATACAAGCAGATTTTCAGAGAAGAATGCAGCAACTGCGAAAAATGAGAAAAAAAAAAAAAAAACTTTTG